TCACACAAGCGATAAACACCCGATGACACAAAGTGCCACCATGCGGATGAGGATCACCGTGGAGAGGTCCCAGAAACCGCGTTCAGACAATTGGCCATATTTATGGCCTGCCTATATTGCGGCCCCTGGCAAAAGCCAGGGTGGGGCTTCAAATAACAAAAAATTTCGTCCTGAGAAGGATGAAAGTGGATATAAGCATAAACTCACGAAAATCAAAAAATTTCACTGGATAAAAATCAAAACAAAACACAACCAAGTCAAAGACGATTCTATGGTATTAAATACAGATAAATTCTATAGCATTATCTGCGTATTCGACTACCAAGAATAGGTATCTAGACGCGTAACGAAATAACAACGCAAATCCCACATTTCTACTAACTATTCGACAGTTTCCTAAAAAAATGCCAAAAGAATATAAACATACATTTTGATGTGTTACTTCCCTTCGTCTGCTCCTGAATACAATTTATTTCTCATAATTCCAAAATTATCTCCCTTCTCTGGTTTTCTAAGCATTGACCCTTTGGAGACGGAGCTTTTTTGGAGTTTCAGTGCCAAATAGAAAAAGCCTTCATGAAAGGATTCTCCTAGTTTACATACAAAAAATATACAAAAATCAAACCGTAATTAACAAATTCAAAACTATATATATATATTCGGGTAGGAGTTTTAATTCAACACTTACTCAAATTAACTCTTCTGATTTGCATAAGTAATTAAATTTTTTTAAACTTAGGATCAAACATTACTAACCTTAAAAATATTGGTGAATTTTTGTATGCATGCAGTCTAAATAGGTCCATAGAATTGTGTTTTGGGGAATTAAGACCAATGGAGGCCGTTCAGATACAAATGACACATAGTTCAACTGATGTTTATGCCTTCTGCTATGTTTCGATTGCTATGACGCAACAGGCTTTTTCACCGTCATTTGGCACAAGTAACCACGAGCCTCCCTCCCCCCCCCCTTTCCACCCCAACCCACACACAAGAATAAAATCGCTGTAAAATTACAGAACACATGAAACTTTCTCGAAATTCGTCATTAAACTGCCCACAGGTGTAAGAAATGTGATAAGCAATCTAATTGGCTGGTACGAAACCTGTCAGCCAATCTCAATGCTTTTAATACACAGGGTCGACCGATCTGCCCAGCCGTCCTATTGGCTACTTTGTGTTGGGCCGAAATATCGGCCGCGTCTTCTCTAGAGGGTTAACATCTTTATTTGCTAACATTCGTACGGCTTTGCCGTTTATTACAAACATCTGAATGTCCCCAATCAATTTTCTTTCTTATGTTATGGATGTACACATTTCACACTGTCGTCTTCAACTGCTTATCCAACTCAGAATCCTGACCTCTATTATCTTGTTTCTAACTTTTCAATAATTGTTCTCTCCTAGTGTCCACTATGTCGGCTCTGTGGCTAAGTCGTTGCGAACGCTTCGTAATACCGGGATGCCGGGTTCGATCCCAGCTGCGGGCCTTGTGCCTTGCGTTGGTTTAGACAGTGGTATCAAGAAAGCCGACCGTCCAGGGAGCAATGGCAAAGTACGGGAGGCAAATTTGCCTAGAAAAACCACACAACAGCCAGGATCTGCTAGGATTGGTTCTGCAACGTCCTGTAAAGTTTACGCAACTAACCTAGTGTCCACTATATAGGCCTACCATACGTCTCGTTTTCACCCGAAAAGACCACTTTTTAAGCAAGCCTGTATTTCGAAAAGGACCAATCAGCTCAACATAATAATGGGATGTCCATTTTTAGCTCAACATATTAGTGGGATGTCCCTTTTTAGCTCAAAATATTAGTGGGATGTCACTTTTTAGCTCAACATAATAGTGGGATGTCACTTTTAAGCTCAACATATTAGTGGGATGTCACTTTTTAGCTCAACATATTAGTGGGATGTCACTTTTTAGCTCAACATATTAGCGGGATGTCACTTTTTAGCTCAACATATTAGCGGGATGTCACTTTTTTTTAAGCTCAACATATTAGTGGGATGTCCATTTTCAGATCAACATATTAGTGGGATGTCACTTTTTAGCTCAACATATTAGTGGGATGTCCATTTTCAGATCGACATAAAGAGGGATGTCCTGTTTTCTGCTCAAAATATTATGGTCATCCAAAAGATTATAATTATCTCCTCTTATAATCTGAAGATTATTCATTAATCTTCAACATTTGATCACTACTTACCGTGTTAATTTCTTTTGACTAGTCGTTAGCCCTGACTACACTAGCTTTTTCTGATTATCATCCTTTTAGCTGCATGGTCTGCCCTAAAACGCGCTACTTGTTTGGTGGTCGAGAAGAGTTTTGTTGTGCCACACTACTATCAATTACTAGTTGGCTAAAACACTACTATCAATTACTGGTTGGCTAACACACTACTATCAATTACTAGTTGGCTAAAACACTACTATCAATTACTAGTTGGCTAACAGGCTAACGTTGGAGAATCGTCAGAATTATCTAAGCAGCCTAGAGTTTTTTCGAAGTAATGAGATTAGGCAGATAATAAGACTACTCTGTGACAACCATGATGTCACGTGCTTGCCACTTTTGACATCCTTAAGTACACTATTGACAGGTTCCCGGTGCTGGTTACGGGGCCCTGTTATAGGGAAAACAAGAATAGACCCACTGCCTACCCAAAAGCATGTCGTAAGAGTCGACTAACTGGGAGCTTCCTTCATAGTCGGAGTGCATCTGCCTGAGAGGCAAGGAAACAACAGTCTGCATTCAAATTAGTTAAATCTGTCAAACGGATGCACGCGCAACACAATTTCGAAATAAGGACTGCAGCCCAGAAGGAGACGAACAACCAAAACTGTCTGCCAAAGTTTACAGCTGGTGAACGAGAAGAAGAAGAAGAAAAATACTGACATGTAACAAGACAATGTCATGAAATTTCGATTGCAACTGACAGGTGTATTTCCAAAGAGTGCATTAGAGAATTTAACATAATATTTTCATTAAATATTGTCAGGTGTTGCAAGGCTGAAAGACCATGTAGAAAATGCTGAACATTAAAAAACAAAAAACACACACACACACACACACACACACAACTGCAGAAAACAAAAGAATAATCCGTAGATATAAAGATGTGTGCGAGTGGGATATGAATGCTACAAGTACTGAGGTAGATTCATGAGAACAAAATGCCAGGAACTTGATGTTTGGTGGGGAAAAATCAGGGAGGGCATGAGAATGAAGGAGAATATGTTCGCAGAAAGGATGAGAGCTGAGCGTCTGAGAATAAACTCACTAGTGCAGATGATTACAACAATGGCCCTGAAATCTCATGCTATAATTGTGGAAGACCTGTTATTCTAGTCATACTCGCCATCGCCATGGGCTGTGAGTCCCATGCCTCCTCATAGCGCAATAAAACACTATCGTCTGGAAAGACGGAAAGGTACCAACAACAAGAATTATATATTATATTTAGGTACAACACGCAAAACATTGTTCACAGTAAAGAATATAATGCGATACATTATGTAATATCAGATTTGTAAATGAAAAAAAAAAAAAAAATATAAACATAATTAACAATTGATGTCTCAAATCAAATTGAGACTAATTGTGTGCCTGTCATCAATTCTACCTTTCTTTAGTTTTTTTTTTAAGAAAAAAAAATGCAATGCAAAAAAAAAAAAAAAACAAATTCTACGGGTAAGTATATATTGCAGTTTCAGATTTGTGTATGTAACACTCCCTCATGTTCAGTTCTCCTCAACCTGCTAAATTTGTTACCACATTGAAAAACTTTACGTAACACTCCATTATTGTTGTGGTAATTACTACTCCCCCCCCCCCTCCCCTCCCCGATAATTGTGCACTATGATAAAGTGTATGTAACAACAACTAACAGTCATGGTAACTTCTCCGTCGTCCTCTTCCACCTACTTTTCAAATAGTTTAGTGCCATGCTGAAGTATATGTAACATTTCCTAACAGTTGTCGTAACCTGTCAACGTCAACGCCCCCCCCCCCTTCCCCTTCTCTCCGTTTGTTCTCGCCAAATCCAATGTTATGAACGCCATGCTTAAGTATATGAAACCTTAAAGAGATAGGACGTGTCGAGGATTTTGGAAGCAACGTGCCTGCACCACTGCTAAGAATACGAGAATGGGGAGTAACGATCGGAACAGCCAAGCATGAGAAGCACACCGGACGCACACAAGATTGTATCAACCAGCATAGGATTGGCACTATTACCGGCACGACGCCGATGAAAATGTGGAAGGGGTAATCGAGCTCATATGGATGTGTCCGAAGTGCTGTGAAGATAATCCAACTCATAACTCATTTGAAATATTTACTCACCGTTTGATAATTACCTCTCCCCCCCCCCCCCACCCAAACCCCCTTACGATCTTTTTCTGTGCTCTTAGAGTTGTTTAATGCCATGCTAAAATATATGTAACACTTTCTTAGTATGAGGTAACTCCCAATCCCCCTCCCACTCCCCTCCCCCCATCTTTAAAGCTGTTTAATGCCATGCTAAAATATATGTAACACTTTCTTAGTATGTGGTAACTCCCAATCCCCCTCCCACTCCCCTCCCCCCATCTTTAAAGCTGTTTAATGCCATGCTAAAATATATGTAACACTTTTTCATTGTGTAGTAACTCCCAATGCCCCCCCCCCCACCCCCACCTTTAAAGCTGTTTAATGCCATGCTAAAATATATGTAACACTTTTTCAGTGTGTGGTAACTCCCAATCCCCCTGTCCCTCCCCCCATCTTTAAAGCTGTTTATTGCCATACTAAAATATATGTAACACTTTCTCAGTGTAACTACTCATATTTTAATAGACCAATCGACGAGAAGTGACGGGGTTATCACCACCCAGCCGCCTTTACTTCCAAGGCTATTTATAGTACCAAGTCAAGCAACTGTGTCACTGCGGCTCCCTCAGTTAGGGCGCTGGGGGTATTTTGCTGATAATTACCCTCATAGAAAGACTTTCAGTCTCAGTTCTGTGTGTTATCTACTGAGGTTTTTGTATAAAACCATCGATCACTGATCCCTATCTGTCTCCGCTGTATTGCTGAACAGACTTTATCCCAACATGTCTTCAGACAGACTTTTATAAAATTAGGACAAAACAAATACAAATAGAAACAAATTGCAGTGATCACTGAGACTCCTGCTACACATGCATAAATATAATCTTGAGCAAATGCACAGAAAACACCATAACAAAGCAGGGCGCTGAGAACAACGTACGACACTAAAGCTATGAACATAGACAGGTAATTCTGAAGCCATAGTTTGCATGCATCTCCAGATAGTTGTCTCCAGTGAAAGCTGGTTTCAGCCCTGCCCAAAGCCAGCTTGAAAGATGACATCAAGGAAAGTATGAAAAAGAGCAGTGTTCCACTGACTAACAATGTGTTGACCTGACTCACTCTATCGCATTCTGGAACATTCGTCAAGGTGTCATTTGCACAGTGTTTTGACTCTTGACCATTGCCTGCAAAAAGTAAATTAAATAAATAAGATTTATTAGATGGTATAATTGTTTTGAACAAATATTCCTCTTCTTCTTTATCTTCTTCTTCTTCTTTTTCTTCTTCTTTCTTCTTCTCCTTCTTCTTCTTCTTCTTCTTCTTCTTCTTCTTCTTCTTCTTCTTCTTCTTCTTCTTCTTCTTCTTCTTCTTCTTCTTCTTCTTCTTCTTCTTCTTCTTTTCTTCTTCTTCTTCTTCTTCTTCTTCTTCTTCTTCTTCTTCTTTTTCTTCTTCTTCTTCTTCTTCTTCTTCTTCTTCTTTCTTCTTTTCTCTTCTTCTTCTTCTTCTTCTTCTTCTTCTTCTTCTTCTTCTTCTTCTTCTTCTTCTTCTTCTTCTTCTTCTTCTTCTTCTTCTTCTTCTTCTTCTTCTTCTTCTTCTTCTTCTTCTTCTTCTTCTTCTTCTTCTTCTTCTTCTTCTTCTTCTTCTTCTTCTTTCTTCACTCGTCATCGACAGGGAGGTTAGCAGACTGTGAGGGAAATATAAACCAGGCTGCGATATGTCTGTCTGTCTGTCTGTCTGTCTGTCTGTCTGTCTGTCTGTCTGTCTGTCTGTCTGTCTGTCTGTCTGTCTGTCTGTCTGTCTGTCTGTCTGTCTGTCTGTTTGTCTGTCTGTCTGCCTGTCTGCCTGCCTACCTGCCTGCCTGCCTGCCTGCCTGCCTGCCTGCGTGCCTGAATGCCTGCGTGCCTGCGCGCCTGCTGTCTAACGTGTTAAAACTGGCTCTATATAGCATGCCTTTTTCTGACCTATTTACAACAACGGATACACACCATTTAACAATTTTAACACAGTGCGTATGACAATAATAGACACAAAATAGTATTTTCTTGACACGCAATAATTCACAGAGATTGACAGGTAGTCATTTACAGTGACTGATAGGTAGTAATTTACAGTGACTGACATGCAACATTTTACGGTGACTGACACGCAATAATTTACAGTGACTGACATGCAACATTTTACGGTGACTGACACGCAATAATTTACAGTGACTGACATGCAACATTTTACGGTGACTGACACGCAATAATTTACAGTGACTGGCATGCAACATTTTACGGTGACTGAAATGCAATAATTTATAGTGACTGACATGCAACATTTTACGGTGACTGACATGCAATAATTTACAAATAACCCTCACCTATTGACTGTGTGAGGTCTGATGGAGCAGCAGAGGTCACTGGATCCTGGTCAACACAAACAACGTCGTGAAACATGCCACAGTCTAATAGACTCTTGTCGCAGCTCCGACACGGTGTACACGAAACTTCCTTCTGCGAAGATTCTTGTGTGGGGTCCCTGAAGTAGCCATCCTCACAGCCAAACAAAGTGGGGGCAGTTCTAGTGCAGGGTCTAATGATGATCCCGTGCGTGGCGGTATTCTCAGATAGTTGTTCACACTGTAAACACTTTTTGTTGACGTGGTTGTGGTCAGACATGAACGTTTCGGCTGGACAAGGAGAACACTCATCAGTGGATGTCCTCAAGAACTGTCCAGGTCCACACACAACTGACTCCTTCTTGCATAATACCTCACCATCTCGGGCTGTACCTGTTCCTTCAACTGGATTACAACAAACAGTATTACTGTACCCTTGACACCCTCGTTCATGTTCCGGAATCGGGCACTGTGAACACTTTTCACATCTATCCCTCTCATCGGGTGCCTGGGCTGTATACCTGTAATGTCCATTTGTGCAGAGTATCACAGCGTCATGAAACCTGTTACATGCTACAACGAGGACCTCTACGTCTGGGTTTTCTATACGAGTACAGTTGAAGCATCTCTGATAAGTATGTTCATTTTCTGGCATATAGGTTCCCCTTTCGCACATCAGACAATCTACTAACCCATATTGTGATGTGTGCCCTTTTTCTCCTCTTGCACACGGCGGCTCTGTGTTTACCATGTAGCACACTGACAAGAGGACAGTAAACACAACCACGTTTGTATTTTCCATTATTCAGCAGTCAAAACGTGTCGAAAATTGATAACAATCTGAAACAAATCACAGACGTTGATAAAATTATGTCCCTTTGTGGCAGGGACGCAAACATAAAGACAATACTGGTTGTGCTAATCAGCTCCCCTTCTCCCCCCCCCCCCCAATCTTTAATCGAGCCTTGTTTAACTGTGCTATAATCATAGTGATGGCAAAAATAATAATAGAAATAAGAATAATAATGACATTATTATTATTGTACAATTATGAAACATCGCTTAAGCTCTCTGAGGGCCCTTTATTACTAGGAGAATTGGAGGTCCCCTTTAAGGGCCTTACGTCTTGTTTAACTGTGTAATATTTGTTACTATTTGCTAAATGGCAAACAGTAGTAGTCTTCAACAACCTCATCCACCACACAGCTACAAGGAAACCACAACAGCGCCAAAGCAGTCTTTCAAGCGGGAGTGGAGAAGGCAGAATGGAGATTACAGACCAGAGAGTGACAGCATAAACAAACTCAACAGGAAAGAACAAACAATAATTTTTAGACTTCGGACTGGACACTGTGGTCTTCGAGCACACCTGTACAGGATAGGCATACAAGAATCTGCTGCCTGTGATTGGGGAGCAGACAGACAGACCCCTGAGCACATACTGCCCTAACCTCTCCCAGCAAAGACTGTGGATCTGACCCAAGGGAGCCACATTGCAAGAGAAGCTATGGGAGACCAGTGGCGACCTTAAACGCACAATCCTATTTGTGACCCAGACGGGGCTCAATGTTTAGCATGACTGATGTCTAACGCAGAAGAAGAAGAAGAAGAAGAAGAATGTTTTTTTGGTCTGCCTCGTGGTCTACGACCGTTCATCTACCTTGTGTATACAGTTTTTACTTCTCTGTCATCTGACATTCTTTCAAAATGGTCCAAAAATGTCAGTCTATTAGCTCTCATGATGCCAGTGATCAATGGTGATTTAAACAGATTGTGAATTTCGTTATTGCTTCTCACTCTTCAGTCCCCGCTGTTTTTACGAAAACCTCTAATAAGGCTTTATCTCTTTTATTTGTGCTCCAAGTTTCAGAGCCATATAACACGACTGGTGTAATCAACGTTTTATGCATTTTGATCTTGCTGTTGGGAGACAGATACAGGTTTGTTTATGTATAGCTTTTCTTTCAAATCTGGTGCTGAAATCTGATGCTGTTTACCTGTAGTCATTTCGCTAAGGCGAGGTTGAAAAATCTTTATCTGTTATCGTTTGAATTAGTATGTAGGCTTTTTATTCCTGTTTCAATTTTTTTAGGTGTTTTCTCTTCTTATTCTTGCATTGAAATCTCCTAAGACAGTCAATATATCTCGTTTTTCAACTGCATCTACGATATTCGCAAGGAGATCATGGAAATCTTCTTTAATATCATCTTCTTTATCTTTAGTGGATGCATGCGCATTATTCATCATGATACTTTTCCATTTTCCTTTTATTTGTAACTTACTGATTCTTTCACTAAGAGCTTCAAAATTTTTAATACTTTCCTTTAACTTTTTCTTGACAACAAATCCTGTCCCTAGTTCATGTTTGTTTTGAGTGTTTCTTCCTTACACTATGATCATTCCATGTTCCTCTATGCTACTCTGTCCTGGCCATCTTATTTCTTGAATTTCTGTTATATCCATTCTGTTTTTTGATAACTCACGGGTCAGTTCTACAGCTGCTCCAGCTCTATAACTGGATCGTCATTCCATGTTCCAAATCTCAAAAGTCCTTCAACATTCCGGGTTCGTTGTTCGTTTAAAACTATCAGAAATCAATGCTTAGATATCAATTTGGTGACGAGATAAAGTTTGACTAAGGTGGGGGTGTCGGCCCCATGCTTCAATCCCCAACCTGCAGGACAAGGGTGTCTTCCCTTGTCTGTTCTTTACCCTTCAACCTTTCCTGCTTGGGAGGCCCCGTTGGTAGCTATGCTGTCACAGGTATAGCTCTCAGTGTCGTTAAGACAGACTCCACCACCCCGTTAAGGATAATTAACTGAATGCAACAAATTTTAGTAGCGTTAGTTAAAATAATTGAGAAAACTTGAACTTATTCGAGAAAAAACGAGTATTTTTGTGGACAATCGTGCACAACTTTAGAGAAATCTTTTCCTTGGGCAAAGTCAAGTAGCTCCTTTTTCGAATTCATATATAATTGTCACATTTTTAGTATTTCATATTGTATCACCTAATCGTTCTATTAAGTAATTTTCATTGTTTCTTTCTTTCTATCTTTCTTTCTTTCTTTCTTTCTTTCTTTCTTTCTTTCTTTCTTTCTTTCTTTCTTTCTTTCTTTCTTTCTTTCTTTCTTTCTTTTTTTTTCTTTTTCTTTCTTTTTTCTTTCTTTCTTTCTTTCTTTCTTTCTTTTCTTTTTTTCTTTCTTTCCTTTCTTTCTTTTTTCTTTCTTTCTTTTTCTTTTTCTTTCTTCTTTCTTTCTTTTTTCTTCTTTT